GGAACAATTAATGTTTTGTTTTATATTATCTTTTGTTCTGTTATAAGATTTTAGTGCTAAATTCATTCTGTGTGGTAAATTGGCTGAATTGATCTGTTTGAGGTATAAGAAAAAAAAAAATTCAATCCATTTTACCATTCACATTTTACTTCTTTTCCTTTGCTGTAAAATCGGAGAACAAAAAAAAGGAAAAAAACATGGCTCTCAACCTATGCTTACATCACCCCCTCCATCGTACTTTTTGTTTCTTTCTTTAACAATAGCATAAAAAAACTTAATTTTTTAATTTTTGGTCAACTTTTTTTTTTGGGGGGGGGAGGGGGGAGGGGGCTCAAAATGTTACAAACATGGTTCTTGTGGAATTTGCATAATCTGTTTGTCATCAACAATAATTGTTAACGTAATCATTTCTTCTTCCAAATTCAAAATAAATATGAAGTGTAAGAAAAAAAAAGAAACTGAAAAAAGAATCAGAAAAAAAATGATTGATAAATATAAGCAAAAAAAAAAAAGCATTTAAAAAACTTCTTTTTTTGCTATTTTCATCTGTTATTCAAATTTAAACTGACAAACAGATTATCAAAAAAAAAAAATTTTTTTTTATCAATTTTTTACCTAAACCTAAATATACATATATATATTTTTTGCTTGATACAATGATCACTGAACAAATGCCAAACTTTATTTGTCTAAATTTACCAGAATTTTTAGTTTTTCTGACATTATATGCATTGCTTTTTCAAGTACAATACAAAAAAAAGAAAGGAAGTAATAAAAATAAGTCATAAAAGTAATCAGCATAATTAATTGGTCTGTGGTTATATTTGATAGACAGTGATCTATAAATCAATGAATAAAAAACTTTATGGAAAAAAAGCTTTTCTTCTTTTGTTTATCAAAATTTGACAGTTTAGACGACAACTATTGAATTTACTACTGTAATTATAAGTGTTGTGATACCTTTTTACATGGATCCGTCATAGAATACTGCAATAGACGAACAGCAATAAATATATAACTAATCATCATAACTACCAATGGTCCCCAAAATACCAATACCTAAAGAAAAAAAAAAAGAAGGAAAAACTAATTCAACTTAACAATTATACAATTGAAAAAAAAATAAAACTTTTGTTTTCTTATTTGTTTCTTCTCTATGAATCTTTTCATAGTTTTCTCAGACATCTTGTCATTTTTTGTTTTTTTTTTTTTGTTTTTTCTTTTTTTCAGCTATTTTGTGACGTAAAAATCAAATGTGTTTAGTATTTTGTTAAAACAGAGGAAAAAAAGTTGTCTATAAGATGTTTAGCCCCGCACTTAAAAGATGTAAACAACAGAGAGCAATAGAAAAAAACCCCAAAAAATGGTTGTTACAGACATTGAAAGAAGATTTTTTTTTCTAGAAACTAATAAAAGCACTTACTAAATGTGATATATTATAAAATTTTTGTGTAGTTTCACTATGTTGAACACTATTTTTGAAACGTTCAATTGACCAAACATCTGAACACTGTATCCATCCACCAGGATGCTCCGGATAGACGTTTAACGTCTTCCAGACTAAAAACTGTGGTAGGCTCCATATTGCTGCCAATATCCAGGAAGTTATTATTGACCATTTAACTGTTCGCTGTAAAATTGGAGAACAATATTAAAACAATTATTCACAAAGCAAAAAAAGAAAACAAAATAAAATAATGTTATATACAATTGTCTTAGAATTGTATAATCTTCCATCTAACTAACTCAATTTGAAACTAAAAAAAAAAAAAAGCGAAGAACAATTGAAGCATTTGAATTTTTTTAATGATATATTCTTTTTCTTCTTCTTCTTCTCCTTCTTCTTCTCCATTCCTCTTTCAGTATCGATTCGTTAAAATAAAACAAAAAAAAAAAAAAAAAAAAAAAAAAA